GCATTCTGGGATCCTCCCTGATTACATTAAGAGAAAAAAAAGAGCACCTTGCCCATAATAACTCTGAGAAATGCTGACATTGCAGAAGGTTTGGCGCATGATAGAATGTAAATATGCGTCATAGTACCTATTAGAAATTAGGCTTAAAAGATGTTGGTTGATCCACTCAAAAAAATAGCTTGTTGGTCTAACTTAACAATATTATGCCACATATTTCCACACAGTTGAACTGATTTATCTGAATGTAAATTAGGTTAATTGTCCTGATGAGTAAAACTCATGCTAATTTAAAGGCAGGGTATGTGATTTTTCAAAAAGACTTAGAAAACTGATTCGGGCTGAATAGCAAAACAAACTTGTAGCCAATCAGCAATAAGGGGCGTGTCTACTCGTGATGTGGAGGAGAGAGCTTTCAGTGCATGGGACGGACATTAGCCGAGCCGAGCGACAGAAAGATAGAGATGTAGGCCTGTCACGATAACAACTTTTTGTTGTGCGATATATTGTCCCAGACATAATTGCGATAAGCGATATTATTGTCATTTTAAAGACCATTTTAATATCAACATTGGCTACCAGAAATCACTTACTCTGCCTTTAATGAGATCACACCAATTGAATTTGACATATTCTGTGAATGTTCCCTGAACATAATTCACTCTTGTTGATCCAACCAGTGCTGTTGCTGTTGTGTGAGTTTTCTGCATTTTCATGAGAATGGAAAGACCTGTTAGAGTTTAAGTGTTTAATTATTTTGAACATTTAAAAGAGTTTATAGAATATAAAATGTTTTTTTTTTTGCTTACCATTGTGGTGCAGAGGAGAGCTTGTGCTTAGGTTGTCAGTAGCTGTCATACACACACATAAATGTTCCATGATCGTTTGATTGTGAAGGGTAGAAATTATGACCATAAAGAGTCAATATAAATCATGTGCTTGCCATCAAGCGGTTTCATTTGATTTATTCTTATAAGAACTAATAGCCAACATAACACTTGCTCACATTCAAAGGATAACTTTTGTAGCATGCAAGTAATGATCGAGTAAATGTGTTCTCATCACTGGCATTAGCAGAGTTACTGCTTATTGAGAACAACATCATTTTAGCTAATGCACCCATAGCCTAACCACAAGGTCTACACTTCAGCATAACGGTAACCTCAAAAATCAACATAAACTCAGTTAAATGTCAAATATAACTGAACAGCAAACACTGGTCAAATGCATCAAGATCTCTAACCTTACTTGATCACAAGATGCTCACGAGTTTAGACATGATTTCGATTGCACAAATCTAAGTTTCAACAAGACAGAAGCAACCACGCAGAAGAGAAACATCCGCACTCTCTCATATTACCCCATAAGAATGGCTACAACATCCGCTAATATTTACTCATGTTTGTGACAACAACAATCAGTAAACACACACCTCCGTCTCCAGCCTCTAGCCTGAACCAGGTGAAAATAAATCCATCAATCCAGACCATCAGTTAACATCTTGTGAAGCAAACAAAGCTGCTTGTTTGTAAGAAGCAAATCCATCATTAAGGCGTTTTAACTTCAAACCATCACTTCAGTCCATAATCCATAATAATACTTCCTCCAGTGGAAAAAGTCCATCTCCTGTTGTCCTCTCACATCAAAATCCACTGACATATTTGTTTGGAACTGTAAACGGTGCTTGATCTGTGCATATTTCTCTCCTGATTCAGACAAGATTAAGTTTCCACTTGATATAGCAATAATATGGATAGATGACTCATATTTTGGCCAGATGCAATGGTTTAAAGTTAAAAATGTCTTAATGATCGATTTGTTTTTCACTTTGCAAAACATTAAATGATGACTGGAGTTGTGTGGATTATTGTGATGTTTTTATCTGCTGTCTGGACTCTCATTCTGACGGCACCCATTCATACCCATTCGTAAGCAAGTGATGTAATGCTACATTTCTCCAAATCTGTTACAATGAAGGAAAACTCACCTACATCTTGGATGGCTGAGACCAAGTAAATTTTGAGCAAATGGGGAAACTATTTCTTTAACCAAGTTACTTGTTTAACTGAACTGTTAAAGTTTTGATGTACATTTTCAGGTTTAGCCATCTGTGTGGCATTGAATAAACACAACTTCATCATGATATGACACTTTTAATCTAATTACTAAAATAAAATGCATAATAATATGTTTAGGAAACATTTTAGAACAGGCAAAATCTGTTACCAAAACTTTCAAATAACCCATTAAACTAGACACTCTCCAGAATGCTCCGGAATTTATAATTTCATGAAATGTGTAATTCTCTCCTATATCTGCACAGGAAAAATGAACAAATCACACTCTTGGCTCATTTTAATCATTTAAAATCACAGCTTTGACCGTCAATACATCAGCAACACTTTGAAGGTCACTTTCAAAGCTGTGAAAATGAAAGTCCATTGACCCTAAAGCTGAAATGTCAATAGAAAAGCAAACAACCATTGACATTCTCAGACATGCATTTCACTGTAGAGAAAACAGTGAAAGTCTTATGTTTTTCCCTCCTTGCCCAAGAGCACGTTACAGCAAGCGGCCCTCCATTTGTACAGTAACAGATTGTTAGTCAATAATTAACAAGTTGTTTTTCACAGCATCTGTCAGAAATGCAAAAGACAGTGCTCATTTTTATACTAGGCCACGAGGGAGGCCAGATTCAGATCTGTTGGGAAGAACTATAAATATTACTCATTTATATGCATTAGTATAAACAACTTGTTATAAATACCCATCATGCATTTCCCCGGTTCAATGAAATGAAATGTCTCGATATAAAAACGCAATAGACTTTAAAACGACAAACTCTCCCAGTAGCTCAAACTGTCAAATCATTATACCTGATCACTTTTCAAGCTTTTAATGTCAAATATATAAACATATTTTATAGATTTCGATTGCTCGGAACATTAAACCTTCATAAACGATTAATAAAAGAAAAATGTCAGTAGCGAGGATGTTAAAAACGTGTTTGGGGTGGTGCTTCTTTGTAGACTCACCTGAGATTTTCTGAATCTGCAGTAAAATCAATCCAATGAACACTGGAAACACACAAGAGCCCATCGTTCTCCTTCAGAGGTTCCTGAACTTTCCAAAATAATATGTGTGTGTTTTAAAAATCGTTGTTTGATTTAAATCCTTGGATCGTGCATGGTGGATTGAGTTTGTCTGACGCTACACAGGCGCTTCCTGATTCTGATACCTGTTGTGCTCATAGAAGGGCGTGTGCGCGCGCAAGCTACCTGTCCAAACTTGCGTTCAGGATCTGGAAAAGTGCGATTGCATTATTCAAGAAACAGTTTAACTTACATTAAGCGAAGAGATTCTGATAGATCCAAAAGACTTAACCTTAAAATTACGCACGAATCAGGAAACAATAGATTAACACTTCGTTCAGTTTTTCAGACACAAAATCCTGCCGATTTAACGTCTGTGATAGTTCACGTTTACAAGATAAACTAACATGATTTTTTTGTTTTCCTCAGTCAGGATTGATTCAGCCCTGCATGAGGACAACGCGTAATATTCATGAGCCTAGAGGTCCTCTATTGGAAGGTTATCGAGAGAACGTCATCACAACTAATTAATATTCATGAGGCATTCCTTCACTGAGGTAGGATGTGTAATTTCGCCCGGTATGAACAGAACTCGTCGTTTGACTGTTGTTAAACTAAACTTTAAAGGGGTCATATGATGCTGCTAAAAAGAACATTATTTTGTGTATTTAGTGTAATGAAATGTGTTTATGCGGTTTAAAGTTAAAAAAACACATTATTTTCCACATACTGTACATTATTGTTTCTCCTGTATGCCCCGCCTTCTGAAACGCGTCGATTTTTACAAAACTAATCGGTCTGAAAAGCGAGGTGTGCTCTGATTGGCCAGCTATCCAATGCGTTATGATTGGCCGAATACCTCAAGCGTGAGAAGGAAATGTTACGCCCCTCACCATACTGTGTTGATGCCGTGTCCGGCCGGAGCGACGAGGCAAAAACATTAAAACCAAAGGAAAAAATGAAATTGCATCATATGACCCCTTTAAGTAAGGTTGCATTATTTAAATTTTTTTTTTTTTTAACTGTTTTAAACTCCCTTTTGTTTTGTGTTGTCTTGAAAACGTGTTTTTTTTTTCTGAAAAGATTATAATTATGTGTCTGCACAATATCGTTTTTACAAATATTGTAATATTTATTGATAATAATTTTAATGCAATTATTATTAATAATGAAATGCATTATATTGTGTAAATATCTCCAGGAAAATTTGTAAAATAAACTTTTTCTCACTATCGTGCTTTCAAATAATGAGTCCACACTTGCCTGCAGACAACAGCTGAGTTTTTCAACGTCAACAGCCCGGAGGCATACACAGCACTTTAATAAGGCAAAAGTCACCAAGCACGAACAGATATCTAGATTACATAACCCATCCAACAGGTATCACAAAAAACAACACTTTCATAATATTTCTTGTTTTGTTTTCCCCTTTCTGATCTCATACATCTCCATTTACATACCATTAAAACTATGTGACTGCAGGAAATGAATTACTGAAATGCATTTCTTTTAAATAGTGTAGAATGTCATCTATGATTGATCATCAAAGCATTAAAATAGAAAATCGTCCCATTAATGGGCTATTGTCTCATAAATGAGCCCTGTGGTTACAGATTTTGAGGAGCCTTTAAATGACAGTTTCTCAAACATTAAAATCTTTTCTACAAGCAAAACACTCAGCGCCATTATGTCATTTTCCGAAAGGAAGACATGTTTCTGAAAGGCATAAATAATTAATTCACAATCTGTTAAACCCTGTTTTGCACATAGACAAAACTGCATTCAATAGCCAGCACTCAATCAATCAGCAGAAACCTGTGGGAATGAGAAATTCAACTTCAGGCAATGGATGTTGTGATGCAGATTTTCTGGCCTGATTGAAACCAGAGACAAAATGCAAAAGACAACAAAATGGGTAAGTGTTATTGCACATTTTGTATGTATATAATCATTATTAATTAAGTCATGTCATTCAAGTCATGTCAGTATATGTGCATCATGGAGTTTGAACCCAGTGGAAATATTTTAATGTTATTTTTCCAACTAAATCGAAATCAGTCTTTTGTTGTTGTTATTGTTGTCTCAAAAGAGTTTGATTATGCCTTAAAAGTTTTATTTTTGTGCTTGTAGTTTTGCAAAATGTTTCTTTAAGATAAAACTAATAAACTAATTATTTATATTTTTATGATATATATAGTTGAGACTTATACATATTCAATTGTTGAAATAATTAACAAAATGTGTCGTAAGAGTATATATACGCATATATTATTTATTTATTTATTTATTTTACTTGCAGTTACTGCAGTAACTCATGTGAACTAGACTGATGTCATCAGTCCCATGTAATATCTCAGCAGGTCCATGATACACAGCTGTTAGTGAGATATATATATATATATATATCATACATATCCATCAATGGCCTTCACAGTGTCTCCTCTCTCACACGTATGCTATAACACATATAAACACACCCTCACACACTGGAGAATTCACAGTATGTTCTCCACTTACAGCCGGAGACAGAGTCTGTCTGCAGGAGCTGGACATCAGTGACGCTTTACTATCCCTGTCTGGGACACACAGAAAATGGACACAGATTCTCTATGCTTTGGTAATATTTATGCCATGAATCTAAATGTGGGATGATGGGAAAATATTTGCATTTGCATAATGTTTACAGTTCAGTTTATCAAGCTGAACAATTGTTTATGATAGAATATGAGATGTTTGAATGTTTAAAATTTGTTGTAATGTCTCTTATAAAGCATATGGAAAAAAGTCTTTATAATTTAATGCAGTTCGATTAGTTAAATAGGCAGACTTCAGTGCTTTTGTCACTTTGTTCAGGGGTGTAAACTAGATATTCTGTTAAAGTTAAGATATGTTTACACAAGTATACTTTATTATTTATTTAACCAAAATTTCCTTTAGTGTAAGTACTTAATTAAATAAATAGATAAATAAGAATTTAATTGAATAAGTACCGAATAAATATTTAATTTCTTTATAACCAGTCAGATGAACTAAAGAATCAGAGAATTTAAATCTGATACAGAACCTTTTCAATCACTTTTTGTTTAATGTTTAGTATGGCTTGAAATATGGCACTTTGATATACATTATGTTACTAAAATTCATATACCATGGTCTTTTTGAATTCTGAAAGTAATTTACACCCCTGCGTTGATTATCAATGAAAAGTAGAATCTTCTGTGTGTTGTCTGCCGTCTGCAGGTATGTGCGCAAAGTGCACCAGAGACGTTTACAGTGCTGATCAGGCCTGCCAAGCCATGGGACAAGTGTACCATGATAGCTGCTTCACCTGCTATGCCTGCGGTACTACAGCTCATGTATCAGTTCAGATGCATGGAAATATTAGACAGACATAATATACACACAAAACACATCAGTGTTCACATCATGGCACTTTTTTATTTTACATTGTGTATGTTTACACTTTACATATTACAGAGCCCCTAAAATGACATGGTAATGATAAAAACAAGCGAGAGGAAAAAAGTATATTGCAATGCTTTTGCATTCTCTCAAGAAACTTCATAGTAAAGAAACGCAAATGTTTCTTGGGGGAACGCAAAACTTTTGCGAGTGAATGCAAAATTGATCAATTTATCATCTCAATAGCTTTGCAAAAGAATGCAAATGTTTTGCGAGCGAAAGCAAAATTTTTGGGGGGCAAAGTTTCTTGCATTAATGCAATAATTTTGCATTTGCATAAAATTGCATTAAAGGGTTAGTTCACCCAAAAATGAAAATTAGCCCATAAATTACTCACCCTCAAGTCATCCTAGGTGTATATGACTTTCTTCTTTCAGACGAATCCAGTCGGAGTTATATTAAAAATTGTCTTTGATCTTTCATGCTGTTTCATGGCACTCAGCGGGTGTTGCAGTGCATCAGTCCAAAAGAAGTGAAATAAAAAGAGCCCATCCATAAAAAAAAGTGTCTCACACAGCTCCGGGGGGTGAACAAAGGCCTCCTGTAGCGAATCAATGCGTTTTTGTAAGAAAAATGTCCATATTCAAAACGTAACAATCACTTTAATGTAGCTTGCGCCAACAGTTGTACAAGAAAAAACACACCACGAAACGTAGATTCAATTTTTTCGTGTTTGCAACGTTTAACTCTGCAAATAAAGTTTGAAATGGTCTCTGACAAATGTGTATAAAAGCAAAGAAAACGGCCAGCTAGGTATAAAAAAAGTGGAGTCGCAGCACCTGCCAGGATACGACACCACGCCGCCGCCATTTTCCATCTTTTTTTTTAATATGTATTTTGGATAATATGGCTATATGTGGCCTTATGTGTTTGAATTGTGTATGTGGGTGTGCAAATGTTTTGTACAGCACTATGAAAAGTGACCTTGAGCTATGGAAAGGCACTATATAAATAAAACTTCTTCTTCTTCCTCTTTAATTTAGTAAGAGAATCTCAGATTTTTCCCTAACCATACACTCTAAAAAATAAAGGTGCTTAAAAGGTTCTTCACAGCGATACCATAGAAGAACCATTTTTGGTTCCACAAAGAACCATTCAGTCAAAGGTTCTTTAAAGAACCATCTCTTTCTTACCTTTTTATAATCTGAAGAACCTTCTTTCACCACAAAGAACCTTTTGTGAAATATAAAGGTTCTTCAGATGTTAAAGGTTCTTTATGGAACCATTTAGACAAAAAGTTTCTTCTATGGCATCGTGAAGCACCTTTATTTTTAAGAGTGTATGTAGTGCTTCACAACATGCAAATTTTACGTGTCAATAAACTATCAAGTGGATGTTTTCTCATCTCTTTGACGCAGGCCAGAAACTGAAAGGAAAGCCGTTTTATGACTTTTCAGGACAGGTGTTCTGTGAGGAGGATTATTTGGTCTGTGGTCTCGCCTTGTTTGTTAATTATTTCTTAAATTAAATTTAGAAGATTGTGCTTTTAATGCTTCCTTGTTTTGTAGTATTCCAGCGTCAAGCACTTTGCAGAGGTCTGCACATCCTGCGGATATTTAATCACAGATATGGTCAGCTTGAAAAAAATTTTGAGTGTGTTTTAATGGATAGAAATAATTTTGTTTAATGTTTCCTACCACACGATCCATTAGTTAATCACTAAGATGACCTCTGACCCCTTTAGGTGCTCCAGGCTTTGGGAAAGTCCTTCCATCCCGACTGTTTCCGCTGTGTCATCTGTAATGAGACACTGGAGGGACAGCCATTCAGTGGAGACACACAAAACAAGATATATTGTGTGAAAGATTACCACAGGTGAACAGCACGCTGACATGGACACTTACAGACTGCACAGACAATCAGTGAATATATAATCTAGTTATTGATTAATGGTAGATTAGATTAAAAGTAACCCAAGTTATAACACGAGAACATTCTTCCATTATCTCATTCATTCAATGCATTTAATATTTATGTCTGATTGTATTTTCTATGGTATATTTTTTCTTGGATAGGTTTCTGGCACAGACCTGTGCTATATGTGAACAGCTCATCCTGCCCAATAAGGTTCTACAGTTTTTATTATTATTATTATTAATTTGCAGATAGCATGTGTAATTTTTGATATCACATGTAATATTTGATATACATCTATTGGACAAATGATCATGTAGTGATTTGGGTTTGTTTATGTCTACAGGGTTCAAATGAGATTGTTCGAGTGATGTCCATGGGAAAAAGCTACCACATGGCCTGTTTCGAAGGAAAAAGCGACATTTAATAACTGTTTATTTAATTCATTCTGAAGAAACTAATAATTTATAATTCATGTTTTTTAGTACCACTGTATTGTTACAGTTACTACCCAGCTCTTATATATATATAGAGAGAGAGAGAGAGCGAGAGAGAGAGCTGGGTAGTGAAGTACTTGTAATTAGATTAAACAAACCATGGATTAAATTATGTTTTAAAATACTCGAAATCAGACAGTTACATTTTTATTGATTACATGATTATATATTGTTCACACAATAGCAATAAATTTTTCATAATTGATTGATTCTCCCTAATTCCCATTTTTTATCTTTGAAATTTTCCTTTCTGAAATAACCTACCGCTTATATACATTCAGAAAGTCTTCCAGTTTTGTGGACATTCACACAAAGACCAGTCACTAGTCAGGTCACAGCATTTGACCACTGGATTTACAATAATGTAGCAAATTAGCTCAAAAGGGAAATGTATATAAATAATTACAATTAATTATGATTAATTACAATTATTTATATCAGCTGCCAGTAGTAACTGTAGCAGAATTAAATTGCCATCAACCAATATGTTTGTCCAGCGAACATTCAGTGTAAGTTCATATCAACTCTAGGAAAGGATATTTCCGTGGCCACAGAAAATACTTTCATACAGTATTAATGCATTAGAGCATGTAGAGATAGCAAAATGACTCCGGAGCGGATCCGCCCCGGAGTCACCACAAGCTCCGGAACGGATCCGCAAAACGGGTCCGTATCGGAGTCCACTTGCACA